AGCATAGTTATCACATTTATTTTCTTTATTCATCTCTTTATAGATCTAATTTTATTAAAAAAATAAATTACATTGGGATATTATAATCAAAATATTATCTATGCAACACAACAACAAGCCTTTAAAGTTGGAAGATTTTTTTTGCTATGATTATTTATAAAAAAATCGACTATTAATAGAATTTAAAGATCATTAGATAATGATAACTTTAGTCACATTGAGAAAGAAAATTTAATTATATTGATATTGAAGTAATCATTCAAATTTTTCAAAACCTGAAGAGTGGGTGTTTCTAAAGTGTAAGTTTTTATCATATTGATTTTATCATTTAAAATAACAATTCAAAAAAAAAAAATTGTAATTCAGTCTAAACGCCGAATGAAAAGTTGTGGGAGGAATATATGAAAATATACTTTGTGCCCCCACTTAAAAAAATTTATGTCTCCGCCACTAAACTTTTCTGAAGGTGATATCTAAAAACTAAAATAAAATTGGACCCTAAAGACTCAGTCGAACATACAAATCCTATACATATACTATTAGAAGTTTGTTAAGTGGCTCGCTAATTGAGAGTTAGCAAACGACGGCCTTCAAATGCTCAAGTCTCATGGCTCTACATGCTTGAAATTTCATCTGTGTATAGAGAAAAGAAATATAACACTTTTCTAAAAAGTGATAGACGTCTAGAGCTCAAGTGTTCTATAGCTGTCCTAGTTGTAAGCGACATGCGCTCGCTCAATATACTCTGCGACGCGCTCACCCTCTAGCTCGATGGATCTCTCTCATTGCATGCTTCGAATATGATGCGAGTTAGCGGACCCATTAATGGCATACTAAATTAAAAATTTCTCTTATACTATCTTTGCGATAAATGTGAAGTGACCTCATAAAAACTTTCTTCTTCAATGCCACATGTCCATTTACACGTGCTGCCACTTCTTTCCGTTCTATTAATCCCTTCGTAATTTTTCAACAAACTCTTTTTGCATCGCGAGATATTCAGTATGTGAGTTTCCTAATTTTAAATTAACTGCAAATGAGCTAATTCTTCACTCAGCGCACAATTCCTGTGACTCAAGTTGACAATATCATCTTCTCTCACCTATGCCGAGAAGACGTATTAACGTCCTCTGAGCTCTCACGACGAGAAAATTTGAATTCTCTAAGTAGTATATCTTAAACTGAGGGTTTACCTGTAGTTATGGGTAGTTAGTAATGGTGAGAGAGGATCAACAATATTTCTACTTATGTGCAACTAGTGGTGTTGATTTTGACTATGGAAGCTGAAGTCGATGTACCCAATCTTTCTCGCCTCTCACGCACTTTCGTCTGTCAATCTTAATGGCGGTGTCTAAGTGCTAACATAATTAACTTACTCGATAGTATCGTGGTTCTCTTAACTTTAGCAAGTACATTATCATGCATGCTTTTGTTCTGAAACACATCTATTTATTTAGTTGGCTATTTTGTCTATGAATGATTATGATAGAGAAAATGATCATGATTTGACTACTCTAAAGGACCGTGGAAAAGCTTTGAGCTTGAAAAAACCCAGGAAAAGGTGTTGTTGTGTTACAGGTCGTCCTGAGGAGAAACTACAGCTATTTGCATACTTTCACCATTAAATGTGCGTTGCTTTCGCTACTACTGTTTAAACGTAATCATTGAAAAAGGTTGGATGCGTCACAATTCATCATTGCTATTTGACGTGTGATATTGTGCACGTTGACTTCACGTGATGGGGGGGTGGGGTTGGTAGGGGTTGACCCATCTAGAAGTTCTTCAAATTGATGTGCATTTCACAAATATCTATCAAATTTGTGGGAACTCATTTTTTATGAATTTAGTTATTTATTTGGATTGTAATGAGTGTCATTTTTACACATCGATATAAAAGAAATGTTCTATCATATCATCACATCAAATTGAATTTGAGAATTGGATGATTTTTTTTTTTTTAACAATACAACTTAAAAGAATTATTTATTGGCATTATCTTCTTTAAGACTGATGCTTCATAAAAAAATTGCTTGATCGGGTGTGAATCTCAATGAATATTTGAGTCGCAAACTTTCATTATTAAATTCAAGACTATTCGAACTTTCATTTCAGCAAACATATAGTTGAACTGAATGTCTTAATGAGATAAATCTGATGACATTAAAAGTGGTTCAATCAGAGTTTGAATAAGCCCAGATTGAGCACTTGAAATGTAATTGAAAACTTTATAACATTGATTGGATGACCAAACGATCTCCAAATCTCACATGCTTATAGTTAAATCGAGTATCTCGATGAGATGAATCAAACAAGCTTAATATCATTTAATTCTGATATCATTTAAGGCACTTAAATCCTAAATAATGATCTATGATTGAGGGAATCAAAACGGGTTGTTCGATAGATTGTTTCAGATTTTAGTTACATTTATGGGGCATGTCACTTTCAAAAATTTAGAAATCGGCTCCCACTCTCTACATGAAGGGAGGATCATAAGCTTGAACATTGGCTTGAGATTCAAGAGAACTCAAAGCCTCATAGGCTCAAACAATATCGGAGCTTTGCCGGAGTACCACAACTAGCCATCGTCGGACCATTGCCTGACCACTGTTTTCAGACCATTGCGTGATTGTCGTTTGACTAGGGTCGCTAGACCACGGTCCTCCGACAACTATCTCCTGATTACAGTCTTTCAGACATCCTCACTCGATTAATGTCTCTGGACTATTGTCGCCCCACTACAGTTCTCCGACCGCCGTCGTCACCCGACTACGATTATTCTGGCCATCACCGTCCGACTATTTTCTTTTGATCATTGACATTTGACTGCCATCCTTCTGCCTTTGTCGCCCAAATATGGTTCTTCGACCACCATAGCCCTATTATGGTCATTTCAACCACCATTGCTTGACTATGATCTTCCGACAAGCATCACCTTACTAAGATCCTCTGACCACCATCGCCGATTTTGGTCCCTTGATCTAAAGTACGTTGACCATTGCAGCTTGGCTACACCCACGTCTGCTGATTTCATTACCAATGTCAATGCATGCTTTCACTTATAAAATCAATGTACACTGTCAATACAATCAAATTTGATTTTTGACGTTAGCACTAGGATTTAAGCTAGATTTCATGGTCTATGGTCTCTCCCCTTCTAATGAGTAGGATCAAATATAAGACAAATGACCTTTTGAAGATAACTCATATGCCACTAGGTTTTTCCACTTTCCACCAAGAAATTCCTTGTGTACAGCTCATGCTTATTATATTGTAGAAGCACCTTCTCTTGAGGAAATGCATCATTTGTGATTAATGACAAACACTAGTAGAATTATTTCAATAGGCCATACACTATATTTTTTTAACTTTTCTATATTTTCCATGTAAAAACTCAAGTGTCTCTTGTAACTCCTCTGGTATCTGTGTGCATACTGGATCATTGTATGATGCTAAGACCATAGATCTCTAACTTTACAGCCACGAATGTTCTGACATGCAACAAAGGTAAATTATGTATTATCTTATCACATTTAAATTCTGCAGTTGTGAGATTTGGTAAAAATTTGATATTGGGTTGTGGATTTTATTTTATTGCTTGAGCCTTTACACGGATCGAATAAATTGCCATCACAAAGGTAAAAGAAAACAAACCAACTATTTTCATCAAATTTCTACGCTAGGAAAGAACAACCATTCAGAACCATCAAACATTAGTAGTTTTCCACCAAAATGTAATATTTAAAATGTTTTCTGGACTTAGTAGTTTGATACCTATTTAGTTAAAACTTAGTGATTGTGAAGCAAATGTTTCTAGATTGCTATGAAGTTAGTATAATTTCAGAGATATAAATATAAATTTTAAAAAATTGCAATTAGCCAATTATATCATATGATGTTGACTGCTTAGCAACGGAAAGGTACCATAGAAAAAGAAAAAATGATCAAAATGGTCCCTTGACTTTTTATGAAAGACCAAAATGATTCCTAACTATATTAAAGTATTATTTTGATTACCCAACTCTTTAAAGATGAAACAAAATAGTTCTCACAATGGGACTATGTTGGTTCCTTTTTAAAGACTTGAGGGATCAAAATAGTCCTTTAATATAGTTGGGGACCTTTTTGATCCTTTATAAAAAATTAAGGGACCATTTTGGTCCTTTTCCCATAGAGAAAACATAGTGTGGAGAATGATTTGGGTATATACTCGGAAGTATAAAATTCTTAGATTAAGCTAATGATAATGATCATTTGAAGAATTTGTCAACATGTAATGAATGATTCTAGCTGATAAAAGTATATAAGTAAAATTTTTATCTGTAGTATACTTCAAGAAGTGTCTAGTGATTGAGTGGGTACTGTTCATCTAAGTGATGCTGGAGATTATCAATAGCATTTCTTTTTGTAGGATTTTCAGGCGACATGATCTAACTGAAATGATCGCCACCTTTTCTATGAGAATGTTATTATTTTGCTTGCTGTAATAGGTTCTCCTAACTGTAGAGTTCTTTTTGTTGTATTTTCCTTCATTTTAAAAGGAATCCCGTAAAACCCTTTCAGTGAATGGTTAGAGTGACATTTCTTTGTTAGTGGTTGAGTGGGCTGCATGTTTATCAGAGCTTTAGTGCTTTCAACTGCTTATAACTGCCTTTGCTCTCTCTCTCTCTCTCTCTCCCCCCCCATGCACAAAGGCAAAACCCTTCATATCGAGTTTATCCAATGTGAATATCTATTTGGATCCCAAATGGAACGACAGCAATTAATCATATTATGTTGTATTGACATGTACTTTTTTGATAGAATGATGCATGGCATGCATTTTGTACGGCTGTGAAGCTCTGCTGCTATTCAATAACAATAAAATTCTGCCAAAGATGCGAGGCCAAAATGGTCTCGAGTCTTGGAGATTCCATCTTTATCTTCTTACTTATGCATTGCACTAGAAAAGATACATCATTTTATTACAAATGAGTCTTTTGTTTATTTTCCTCTTGCAGTACTGTTGAACCTGAAGGAAAATTATGAGGAAGTCATGAGAAGAGATGATGTGAAAGCAATTGTCCTTACAGGTACGTAATAATTCTCCAAACTTGTTTAACGTATCTATAACATTTTCTAAGGTTCAAGCTCATTGAATAGGTGCTCGAGGAAAATTTTCGGGAGGTGCTGATATCTCTTCATTCAAGGAAGGAGAAGGTAAGTTGAAGGCATTTCCTAAGTCAAACATTTTTTACTTTCGTACTTTCTGAAGTCATTTCTTATTTGTTGACAGGAGATTCACCGAGAAACAGTTCCATGTCAATAGAATTTCTTACCGATATTCTGGAAGGTGGTGTTTTGAATTTTAATGAACAATATTGCTTTGGTGTTTTGAGTTTCAGAGGAACTATATTGTTTCACAGTTTTTCATGCTGTCAGGTGGAAGAGCCGACCCCACGTAGTGGGGTAAAGGCTTGATGTTGTTGTTGTACTTTCTGAAGTCATTTCTTATTTGTTGACAGGAGATTCACCGAGAAACAGTTCCATGTCAATAGAATTTCTTACCGATATTCTGGAAGGTGGTGTTTTGAATTTTAATGAACAATATTGCTTTGGTGTTTTGAGTTTCAGAGGAACTATATTGTTTCACAGTTTTTCATGCTGTCAGGTGGAAGAAAACCATCAGTAGCCGCAATTGATGGCGTTGCTCTTGGCGGTGGGTTGGAGATTGCAATGGTGTGCATGTGGGATTATTTAATCGTTGTTTCTAGTGTATCCTGTGCTTGAGATGCCTCAAATTTTAATGTTTCTGTTGGTTTTCTTTACCCAGGCATGTCATAGTCGCATTTCCACTTCTTCTGCTCTGTTAGGACTTCCTGAACTTCAACTTGGAATAATTCCAGGATTAGGAGGTATTGTTTTTAGAATGGGTTATCAATGAACCAGGCTTGTCATGTATCATATCTGATTTAGATGTTAGTTCAATAATGCTTATTTGTATTACTTCACCCTTTTGATAAGTGAGGTTTTTGTTTCCATTCATTCAAATCTTTTTGCTAATTACTTTTTGAGCTTTCTAATCTTATTTTCTGTGTACCTAAACCAGGACAATTCTAATATTCATGCAAGAACTTTCCTCTACACCGTATTCATCTTTGTCCATTATTCAACGACTTGTCAGATGTATTCAGCAAAATATTAGTCAAGCTACTTAAAAAAATTTTCACCAAGAATAAGAAATAATGCCACATTATGATGATAAAGATATTATGAGCATTCCATACCCCCTACAAGTTGCTCTATATATTTAAAGCTAAAGCAGTCCTTTCACTTGAAGTTGATTTGATATCACTTAAATAGTAGCACATCACAACCTTTCTTTGGAGCAAAACTCTACATCCGTGGAGGCTTCTACTATAGTACTGCTCCAAACTTCATTGTTAAATGGGGCCTATCCCACCTAATATATATATATATATATATATATACATACGCTAAAAAATGCTTTCATGGTTTTTGAAGTCGTTGTAAGACCATTATGGTTGTATTCCACTACATATATGCTCTTTAACAGCAGCTTTGCTACCATTGTGGAATATATTTTGCATTTTAATTTCTTTAAGTAGTATTTGCCACATATAATTCTTTTAATAGTTTAATTAAATCAATGTGAAACTGAACCAAGCAATAAATCTTAGGAATTTTGCACCAATACCAGTGATTTAAACCGTTGCAAAATAAGATCAATAACACAATTTTAAATTAAAAAATAACACTATTTTAAATTGTTGCGATTGGTTAATAATAATGGTGGTTTTAGTCATTGCAAAAATGCTTCTTAAACTATTAATATGTCCACAACACTTTTCATGACCTACTACAATGGTTAAACAGTTACTAATTTATTTGCAGCAGTTTAAGAGCTACTTGCAACGATTTCACAAATGCTGATGTAGGAAATCTTTAGTAGTGCTTTTAGTAGGGGTTAAAACCGCTGTTAAAGGGAAGCACAAATAAAAAAAATACACAATGGCAAAAAATTAAATTTTGTGATCAAATTACAAATATAAAGATAATACTAAGCAAATATAAATTTAGTGAATATAAATAACATATTAATCAATAGTTAATTGAGGCCAAATCTTATAAAACTAACAAACAACTCAAGCCCCATAGAGGCCCTCTCTTACCCTTCCCTCGCTGGAAGGACCGAACAAGTTGAAGGAACACGCAAAAGATAGCTCAACATCAGGAGGAGTGGGTCTACGTGTCTCAGAGAATGAAGGTGCAGCTATGCGGTTGTAGTAGGGTTGGGAGTTTTTTTTTTTTTTTTTTTTTTTTTGGAAAACCTACTATCAAAGTAATTTTGATCATTATGAAGAAACAATGAGTAAATTTTGACCTAAAATTAGCGCTAGGGTTTTTCCTTGCGGCTTTTCGCGTGGGATTTCTGGCGGCGGGTTCTCCCCGCCCCTCGGGGGGCTGCTGTCGTCGGAGTTCCGTTTGCTCTCAGGGAAGTTTTTTGTTCCCTACTTTTCTTTGTTTGGTGCTTTACCCGGTTAATTTGAGGCCAGCTTTCAGTTTAAGCAACTTCTCTTCCCCTTTGTGAGCTTGTTCTGGTTCACCATAATCCGTTTGAGATTGTCATGTATATGATGTCCTAGCCAGTTCATGTAACCCTGCAGACATCATCCATCCCTGAAATCATATGGTTTGGCCCTTCATAGGGATGCTTATTTCACCATCGAATCATGTTAAGAATTTCATAGGTTAAATCTTGGTCCCTAAAACTTTAAAAGACCATCCATGCAAGTTCTAATTATTTTTTAGAGTTTGCTGTTCAACTTAATGGTAATGATTCTAGATTACCACAATCAGGATTGAATTGTGGTCTTCCACTTTTAGGTTCCAACTTAGGCGAAGTTTGGGATGGCTTTCTTACTGACTTCTTTAAGAAGTTTTTTAGTTCAAAAAAATTTAATTTTTTTTATAGAAAGCGCTTTAAGAAGCAAGTAAGAAAGCCGGTCCCACAAACAAAACCTTAGCTAGGATATTGTGAAAATTTCTTATAATTTTTTAGCCTCGGACAACAAAATGATGGAGCAATCTTCTATATCTTTCATTTTCTTATTCCTATGACTCCTAAAATTTTTCCGTCTTTTACTGTAAACAATACAGCCAATCCGAGCACTTGCCGTTTTTTTGTTTTTTTTTGCTTTTTTTATGTTGGCTAGGAGTAGTTGAACATGAGTCGAGCTAGTTTTTCATCATACTTGCCAGCCTTATTCAACCCTACTCGTTTGGCTTGGTGTTTGAAATGGTGTTTTTTAACCTGTTTCCTTGATCCTATCTTTTCTAGATAAGCCATATGAAAAATGAAAGCATTGGTCAATTATAAAAAAATGCACTTGACGT